TCTTTTTGGCGGCAACTCTTAGAATTCCACCTTCAATACTCATCATCTTCTTTAGTCTTAATTGATAATATATCAGCCATTGAATGTTGACACCTTCATCTTTATCTTTCCAAGACTTGATTTCCCCCTCTACTTGCTCCCTTAACTGAAGATGCCAGGGATTGAACCTGGGACCTTCTGCATACCAAGCAGACACACTCTGCCAGTGAACCACAAGATGTTTCCTTCAAACCGGCAGCTTTTACATATAATCGCCCGCCCACCCGTCTCTGAAAAGAAAGCTTAATGTGAGATGGCCAAGTTTGGTCTTTGATCACCAAGAAGAAGTATGTTATTTCTGATTTTTCACATGCATTTGAATGTTTAATGAAGCAACCTAATCCACTCTGCTTAGCTTGAGGGTCCTGGAGGTTATTTCATAGGCCAAATCATGAGTTGTTAATGCACCTCTTATTATAATGCATTGGGCTGCGTTCACCAAGATTACAACCCTAAACGGACTTACAACCTTCCAAGTCCACTGAAGTCAGCTGAGGACAGTACTGTAGTCATTCCTTGATGAGCCAAAATGTGGATATAGCCTCTTTAGATGTTCCCCCTTTTAGTACGAAGCCCTGACCCGGACGGCCCGGAGTAGCCCAATCTTATCAGATCTGGGAAGCTAAGCAGGGTCAGGCCTGGTTAGCACCTGGGTGGGAGACCACCAAGGAAGCCCAGGGTTGCTACGCAGAGGCAGGCAAGGGCAAACCACCTCTGTTCATTTCCCTTGGAAACCCTGTGAGGTAGCCATATGTCAGCTGTGACTTGGTGGCACTTTCCACCATCTAAGCAGAGGTCCATCGGTGGCTCTTAGCCAGAAGGTATAGATGGAACACTCGTGTCTGGGGTAGTGATGCTCTGTCTTCTTGGTGCTCGGGGGGCCACAGTGGGAGGGCTTCTGGAGTTCTGGCCCTGCTGGTGGGCCTCCTGATGGCACCTGGTATTTTTGGCCACTGTGTGACAAAGAGTGTTGGCCTGGATGGGCCACCGGCCTAATCCAACATTGGCTTCTCTTGTGTCTGGGGCTGTGATGCTCTGTATTCTTGTTGCTTGGCGGGCCACAGTGGGAGGTATAGATGGAACAGTGTAGTGATGCTCTGTCTTCTTGGTGCTTGGGGGGGTTAACAGTGGGAGGGCTTCTGGAGTTCTGGCCCCACTGCTGGACCTCCTGACGGCACCTGGTATTTTTGGCCACTGTGTGACAAAGAGTGTTGGCCTGGATGGGCCACCGGCCTGATCCAACATTGGCTTCTCTTATGTCTGGGGCAGGTGATGCTCTGTATTCTTGGTGCTTGGGGGGGGTCAACAGTGGGAGGGCTTCTAGTGTCCTGGCCCCACTGCTGGACCTCCGGATGGCACCTGGCATTTTTGGCCACTGTGTGACACAGAGTGTTGGACTGAATGGGCCATTGGCCTGATCCAACATGGCTTTCTCTTATGTTCTTGTGTCTGGGGCTGTGATGCTCTGTCTTCTTGGTGCATGGGGGGGGCAACAGTGGGAGGGCTTCTAATGTCCTGGCCCCACTGCTGGACCTCCTGATGGCACCTGGGTTTTGGCCGCTGTTTGACACAGAGTGTTGGACTGGATGGGCCATTGGCCTGATCCAACATGGCTTCTCTTCTCACATCAGGTTGATCGGGCAGAACATAATTAAAATAAATCTGAAATACATTTATAGAGTATGTGGCGGTAAGGAAAATTGATTTTTTTTTTAAAAAAAAATCATTTATACCCTGCCACATTGTTCCCCTCTCCTCTATTTTACCCTCGCAACCACCCTGTGAGGTAGGTGAGGCCGAGAGTGCGTGACTGGCCCAAGGACACCCAGCGAGCTTCCATGGCCGAATGGCGATTCCCAGATTCTAAGCACTACACCACGCTGGCTCTCAATTTTTTTTTTTTTTAAAGACTGAATTATTTCCATTTGTGCCTCTTTCAGCAGCAAGGGGAAGGGCGTAAAGCAACAACAGGAGGGCCGAAAGATAGGAGCCAGCTGTGTACTTTAGCATATCGTCATGACTGTGGGAAAGTCCGTCCGCGGTGACTTGCTTAGAGAGCTGCGGAGACCAAACAGTTTATCGCCGGTACAGATAAAAGCTCTTCTCTTTGTCAGCCCCCAGTTCTTCTGGCTCGCTTTCCCTCGTCTACAATGGAGCCCGGGAGCTTTTGTTGCATTTCTACCCCCGCGTACAGAACTTCAATCTAGGATCTCTTTCAGGTCCTTAGCAGCGTGCTGGAGCTATTGACTTTGCAGGCATTCTGTTTCCTCTCTGCTGGACGTGTTCTCTGTCTTTGGTGCCCCGTGATCTGAATTTCTTGGATTGATCTGGGGTGTGTGTGTGTGTGTGTGTGGGGGGGTTACATTAGTAGGCCCAGTGTTCCCTCTAAGCTGATTAGTGTGAGCTAGCTCACAGTTTTTTTAGCCTCCGGCTCACACATTTTTGTCTTCGCTCAGGAAGGGGTGGCTCCAGAGCAAACTAACTTATGCAGCAGCCAAATCGCTCGCTCACAATTTTAATGCCGGTAGCTCACATGGTAGAATTTTTGCTCACAAGACTCTGCAGCTTAGAGGGAGCATTGGCCAGGCACAGAGGTATTTTTAATTTTTATTGGACTCCGTTTATATCCCGCCTTTCTACCCGGTGGGGGGGGGGGCCTGAAGTGGCTCGCATTGGTCTCCTGTCCTCCCTTTCATCCTCACAACAATCCTGTGAGGTAGGTTACGCTGAGAGTGCATGACTGGCCCCAGCAAAAAATGTGGAAACTCGAAGCAGAATCTCCCAGATCCGAAGCCAACACTTTAAGCACCACACCACGTTGCCTTTCAGTGTGACTGCCCAGATTTGTTCTTATGGCGGAGGCATGGACTGTTAAATAGCCTAGTTATCCCTTTTGGGTAGTGTCGTGGTTAAGTGCGCGGACTCTGATCTGGGAGAACCCGGTTTGATTCCCCACTCCTCCACTTGTAGCTGCTGGAGTGACCTTGGGCCAGTCACAAGTTCTCTCAGAGATGTTCTCTCAAGGGCAGTTCTGGAATGGGCTCTCTCAGCCCCACCTTCCTCACAGGGTGTCTGTTGTGGGGAGGGGAAGGGAAAGGAGTTTGTAAACCGCTCTGAGACACTTGAGTAGTGAAGGGCGGGGTGTAAATCCAATTTCTTCTTCTTCTTTTACCTCACAGGGTGTCTGTTGTGGGGAGGGGAAGGGAAAGGAGTTTGTAAGCCACTCTGAGACTCCGACTGAAGGGCGGGGGTATAAATCCAATCTCTTCTTCTTCTCTTCTTTTGGTTTTAGGATTCTGGGTGTTGCATAGTTCACCTTACCAGTGAATGGTGCGATGTAAGCAGCTTCATGTGTCTACTTTACTATCGCTTTTATGGTGTAACCTAGCAGTCTGTCTGTCTGGCCTCGCTCTAGGAGTCACCTGCGCCAAGTTGGTCCCCTACCAGCCCAATGGTAGGCCTCCCCGCCCATTCTGCTGATGCCATGAGGAGACCCTGGCCCTCTTAGCACCCACACCTTGCCCACAGGGAATTCCTGTCTTGTCCCCTCCTTTGGGAAAGCAACTCCTGCTTCAGTTCCCAGCCAGGCTACCGCCCTCGGGGTCTGCCGGCATTCTGGCGCCCTGACCTGGATAGCCCAGGCTAGCCCGATCCCATCAGATCTAGGAAGCTAAGCAGGGTCAGCCGTGGCTAGTATTTGGGTGGGCAGCCTCCAAGGAATACCAGGGTCATGACACAGAGGCAGGCAATGGCAAACCACCACTGAAACGTCTCTTGGCTTAAAAACAAGTCTAGCTCGCCACCTAGTGGTGCATAATGCTAAAGGACCTAGGAGGACTTCTGGCTGCCGGACAATCTTAGGATCTCCTGGCTGTTCTACACACAACGCCGTACAATAATTAGTTAATTAGTGTTTTGGCCATCTCTCTGCCACCTGGGCCTGGTGTGACCCTCTGCTGCAGTGCTGTTTCCATGCCAAATCTTTCCTGTTCTGTTCCTAGAGCTGCGTCTCCCTGTCTGTACTAGCCCACTAAGTACAGACAGGGAGACTCGGTATCAGGATATTGAAGAAGAATCCTTTGAAACAGGACTACATCTGAATGCCTGTCTGTGTCTTGGAATTGTTTTGTGTGTGAATTGCTATCCCTTGGTCAATTTGTAATTGCCCTCTTCTTTACAAGCTGTGCGGTAATAATTGTCAATAGTATATTTACAGTGTTTGCTGTGACTGTGTATTTCCCTGTTTGCCTGTACTGGTTCCTTGTCTGTTTTCCACCTTTGCAATCTTGGCATCGTTATTGGGGCGTTATTGCAGCAGAGGACTCTCTGTGGCCACAGTTAGGAGCCAAGAACCTTCCCGTTCCATGTTTTTCATGATTTGTTAATTTTCATAGTCTATGCTGATCTTTAGCTCTGTTTGAAGAATTTGGAAGAACGGACTCCTTTTTTTTTTTGGTAACTTCATTCCACATTTCCCTGGCCGTTTATTTAAACTTTGCAGTTGCTGGTAATTGTGCCTCAGCGTTCAAGATCTCTGCAACTGTGTTATACCCTGGATTGCCTGTAATTTACTGTAAACGAGAAACGTCTGTGAATTGATCGCCGTTAACATGAAAATGGGACTTCTAGGGCCTCCTCGGAGGGGCGTTTCACACTAGGCATCAAGCTGCTCTTTTCCCCTCCAATGCGTTTTACAGTCCGAGGGAAATGCCTCCTGACAGTTGGTGCAAGTACTTGTTTATTCTATCAGAATCCATTGGCGTGTTCCCTGGCGGCAAGTGTCTTCATGCCGTTGATGCATAAAAACGATGAGCGGCCTCTATGCCTCTTAAATGCTGAACTGGCGTTTTGATCGCCTTATAGACATAACATCGGCCTAACGCAAAAACAAATAATGAAGCTTTTATACAGTGGTAATTAAACCCTAATCTGTTTGTTTTTTCTTTCTCGTTCCTTTGCAGAAACTTGTTCCCGTCGAACCTGGTCGCAGCGGCCTTTCGATCGGTAAAGTCGTTTCTCCTGTTCTGTGTCTTTGTGTGTGTGTCTGTGTAATTTTTGTCTTCGGGCCTGAAATTTTCGGAGCTTCAAGACTAATTTTTCCTTGAGTTCCATGGGGCTAAAGCAGCCGGATTCTTGAATTCGTGGAAGCAAGTGAAGCGGCTCAGTTGGAATAGTCCCCTTCAAGGATTGAGGTTTATAAGATTATGCATGGGATAGAGCAGGTTGAGAAAGAGGTACTTTTCTCCCTTTCTCACAATACAAGAACTCGTGGGCACTCCATGAAATTGCTGAGCAGTGGGGTTAGAACAGATAAAAGGAAGTACTTCTTCACCCAAAGAGTGATTAATACTTGGAATTCACTGTCACAGGAGGTGATGGCGGCTACAAGCATGGACGGCTTCAAGAGGGAATTAGAGAAGCATATGGAGCAGAAGTCCATCAGTGGCTATTAGCCACTCTCAGGCTGGGGCAAGGGATGCTCTGTCTTCTTGGTGCTTGGGGGGGCAACAGTGGGAGGGCTTCTGGTGCCCTGGCCCCACTGCTGGACCTCCTGATGGCACCTGGTCTTTTTGGCCACTGTGTGACACAGAGTGTTGGACTAGATGGGCCATTGGCCTGATCCAGCATTGGCTTCTCTTATGTTCTTATGACAGCAACCTCAGTATGAGTAACTGAATGCAGGATTGCAGCCATAGAGCTCAGTACTTCTGGAAGCTGTGTGTCTTGAATACGGCTTAATTTCCCCATTTTGGGGGGTTATAAAACAGTGTACGGCCCCTCTTTCTATGGCTGACTTAGAGGGCTCTGCAGATAATTCAAACGCAATAACATTGTACAGATGTGGGTTTTTTTATTTTATTCAGTTTTATTTAACTATTTATGTTCTCTGTGATCTGCCCTTCTCACGGGCCTCAGGGCAGGTTACACAGAGTGAGTCAATACAATCGACAAAATCCATTCAATAAACAGTGCAATAGGATTAGGGCCGTAGAAGTCTGGAACCAGCCAGAAATCTAAAAAGAGAGACCGGAAGCTGAGCAGGAAAGTATTAACGTGATGCATTCAGCGGTGCAAAAATTACATGGTAGGATCCTACTTACTTGGTGCGTAATCATTTATCCAAGTAAGTGTGTGGACCATTTTGTGCAGTGTGGCCCTGTTACCTGTGCAGAAAAGCCCTCTTAGGAGGGAGTTAGATCACACCCACAAGCTCTGGCTGCAGCATCCGTGCATGGAGTCGAATGTCCAGAGATAGCTCTATGCAGGGGTCATTTCGTAGAAAAAGAGGTGCAGGAACTCATTAGCATAACCCATTAGCATAACTCATCTGCATACGGCACGCCCCCTGACATCACCGGAAGTGTGTCAGAAGGCAACACCCACCACTCAGGCTCCACTGGACTGTTTTGGGTTGCTAGCTATTGGGTGGGGGAGACATGCAGATCTGTCTTCGCAGAGGAGGGAGAGCTTGTACCTGAATAAAACTTGGCCTTAAAGGTGCCACTGGACTGTTTTGGATTGTTATGGGGGGCTCTGCAGCTTACCTGGCTGCTTCTTGCTCTGACTGAGGGCTGCTGGGAGCAGCGGGCGGGGCTTGTTGCACCTTCCCGCCCCCTGGGCTCTTTACTGCCGGAGCTTCGCTCCTGTGCGCTCCTGCAGGAAATGACCCCTGGCTCTATGTGCACACCTGTCGGCCATATACATGTGTTCAGGATCCTGCTTTTTGTTCACACATACACTTGTATGAGAGTTAAGCTCTCTGCAGGTGTTCAAATGAACATGGGGACATTAATTAATCATCGTATGGCATTGTGTGTAGAATAGTAAAGCAAAAAGAAAATGAATTTTGTCCATTTCTGAGGAAGACACTGTTCCCTCTAAGCTGAGTTTGTGTGAGCTAGCTCACAGTTTTTTAGCCTCCGGCTCACACATTTTTGTCTCTGCTCAGGAAGGATGGCTCCAGAGCAAACTGATTTATGCAGCAGCCAAATCGCTCAGACACGGCTTTAATGCCAGTAGCTCACAAGGTAGAATTTCTGCTCACAAGACTCCACAGCTTAGAGGGAGCATTGCATCCGAGATGAACATTTATACGGAATCTTTGTGAATTTGACTTTAATGGACTGGACTCTGGATCTTAATAATCTTTATTGTTCTATATTTGTGAATTTTGTCTTCAAAGACTCTTTATTGTATGTTCAGTTTTGTGAATGTTTGTGTAAGATTCCGCAACACACTTATATTACCCTGTTTCCCCGAAAACAAGACCTACCCAAAAAATAAGCCCTAGCAGGATTTCTATGCATTTGTGGTATAAGCCCTAGTGTGTCTTCTTGAGAAAAAATAAATATAAGACAGTGTCTTATTTTCGGGGAAACACGGTATTACATACAATTGTTGATGTTCATTGTGAGTCGAATAGCCAGGAGATCCTAAGATTGTCTGGCAGCTAGACGTGCTAGCTCTTTGGCGTTATACAGCACTAGGTGGAGAGCTAGCCTTTTTTTTTGAGGCAAGAGATGTGTCAGGGGTGGTTCGCCATTGTCTACCTCTGCGTCATGAGTCCAACCCTGGCATTCCTTGGAGGGTCGCCCTTCCAAATACTAGCTAGGGCCGACCCTGCTTAGCTTCCAAGATCTGACGGGATCGGGCTAGCCTGGGCTATCCAGGTCAGTTTCATGGGCACATGAACACACACATGAAGCTGCCTTCTACTGAATCAGACTGTCGGTCTATCAAGGTCTGTATTGTCTACTCAGACTGGCAGCGGCTCTCCAGGGTCTCAGTCAGTGGTCTTTCGCATCACCTCCTGCCAGGTCCTTTCAACTGGAGATTGAAACCCGGGGCCTTCTGCCTGCAAAGCAGAGGCTCTTCCACTGAGCCACAGCCCCTCCCCGTTAGGGGTGTGGTCAGTAGGTGTGATGTCACACCCATCTGCGTGTGAATACTATGGATACTCTTGGAGGTCTACCTGGCTCTTTGTGCTCTTCAGCCCTGAAATGAAGGAAGGGAGCGTTAAAGGGAAGCTACGGTTGTTGCGATTTGACGGCCCTTTCCCCCCACCACCAAGTGTACTGTGGGAGAAGCTGAGGCTGGCATTGCAAGATAAACTTTACGAGAGCAAGCTCTTATTTCAACAAACTTTGATCTCACCACTTGCAGTGAGTGGATCCTCCGAACTGAGCATGTGCGGTTCCACTACCCACATGCATTGCTAACAAGCCTTACATCTATAACTATGCATAATTGGCATGCTACACTGCTAACTATGTTCTATACAGAAATAAGACATGCAAAACTAAAGACTTCAGTTCCCAGGGACCACTGCTCCTTAAAGATATGGCAGTTTTACTTAGCTACAGTTAAACGCTGGCTGGGGCAGCACAGAGCACCTTGGATATTTGTCCATCTCTGTCAAAATGGAAAGTGCAGATGTGGCCAGAAATTCTCCTTAAATGGGATTAATCATTCATCGGAAATCCCACTGACTTCGGGAAGATGATGCTGGTGTTAATAAAAGTTTACTGAAGGGTTGTTTTGTGTGTGTGTGTCTAGAATAAGGGCTTTAACTTGGAAAAAAGATTGTTCGTTCCGGAGCAAATCTGTTGTAACGCTGAAGACCAATCCCTTAACCTATATCGCTTCATTGATCGTCTGGCAGTTTCCCAAGCCAGATATCGGGGAAAACCCAAATGCAAGTTGTAAAATAACGAACCTATATACCTGTTCAACGAGGCCTCAGATACTAATCAACATTTTAATTTTATTTACAGTATGCTACAGACTACAAAATGATAATACGGAACACAACTCTCGGGAATGTTACCGAAAAGGTAAGCAAATGGTATTTGATTCAAGCAAATTCTTCTCCTGTGTGCATCAGAGGCCTACTTTGTTACATCTTCAGAACACGGATTGTTTGTTAGTAATTATGACACATGAACACGTGAAGTTGCTTTCTACTGAATCAGACCCTCAGTCCATCAAAGTCAGTATTATCTACTCAGATTGGCAGTGGCTCTCCAGGGTCTCAGGCAGAGGTCTTTCCCATCACTGGAGATGCCGGGAACTGAACCTGAGACGTTCTGCGTGCCAGGCAGAGACTCTACACCGGGGATGGCCAGATTTGCTCAGCGTAAGAGCCACATAAGAATAAACATCAGATGTCTGAGACATGAACAAATATCACACACACATAAACGTTTTTACTGAAAAAAATATGCAAATTTGCCTTTTATTAACATCAAATGAGACTGCCGAAAATAAAAAACAAAAGGGGTGAAAACAGATATCGATAATGATAGTTATTTGTCCAATGATGTTTGTTTGTTTGCTAATGATATTTATTTGTCTAAGAGAGAGAGAAATAGAGAGGTGGAAAGAAAGAAGGAAAGAGGTGGAAAGAAAGAGAAACAAAGTAAGCGGAAGGAAGGAAGGAAGGAAGGAAGGAAGGAAGGAAGGAAGGAAGGAAGGAAAAACATGCCTCCCCTTCACTTCTCCAGCTGCCCTGATGGGAGCCACACAGTATGTGTGAAAGAGCCGAATGTGGTTCCTGAGCCACAGCGCCTGTTATACACTGAGCCTCAGGGTGAATATCCTACCCTGGCTGCACTTTTGGGGGGTCAGAGTGCATAGAGAAGCAACTCTGCACTTATCCTCTTGGGGACATTGCCTCCTGCACTTTAGTAAACAACCGGCTATATCCCTCGACTGTTTTCATTGGTGAAGACGGGAGGAGTGGGCCCCTTTCGGTAGCTGTAGGAGGCTCTCACGGGGATTGCTAGACTCCCGTGGAGAAAAGCCATGTGGGACAGTGGCTACAGTGTATAAGGGCATTGGAAGGGATTGATCAGAGAAGCTAGCAGGATACATTTCCTTAGGTTTTCTGTAAACAAAGTACAAAACAACCCCAGTAATCTACTGGATTGTGGGGTTTTTTTGCATTTGGGGTGCTGTTATCTTTCTCTCTCCTGCCAGCCTAGTAGTTTGAAAGCAAGAAATTGCAAGTTGATAAATAGATACCGCTTTGGTGGGAACGTAACAGCGTTCCGTGCGCCTTGGCGTTCAGCCACGCCGGCCACATGACCGCGGAAAAAGTCTTCGGACAGCACTGGCTCTTCGGCTTGGAAACAGAGATGAGCACCACCCTCTAGAGTCTGATTTGGCTGGCTTTCAAGGAAGGGAAACCTTTACCTTTATATATCTACATGTAGCGTATTTTGGGGTTTGGAAGATATGCCATGAGCTTCCCCTCAAAAAACACAGTTCTGGGAAGCATTTCTAAGTGCTCTGGAGAGATAAACAGCCCCCTCTTGGTAAATTGGAGAAAATCCACCTCCCACAGAGATATGCTTAAGGGTACAAAAATACTGAATGTACAAACAAAATATGCAGCTATTAATGTTATCCATGCAGTTACTTTTCATCGAATGCGAAAGAGCGTGTTTTCGAGCACTGGTTGTTGGAATACTTTGAAACATGATTACTTCTGCTCAGGGCTATTTTTTGGGCAGGAACGAACGGGAACGGAGTTCTGGCTGGCTCCCAAGTTGGCCACGCCCAGCAGGAACTCAGTAGCATAATAGGCCACACCCAACAGCAGAAACTCATTAGGATTGGCTAGGTGTGTGGCCTATCATGCAAAGGAGTTCCTGCTACAAAAAAGGCCCTGGGTTTTGACTACAAACAAGGTAAACAGAATAACAAGCAAAAGGTGGGTGTGGCTGGATAACCACAGTTCTGGTAACATGGGGGTGCGGCCTAATGTGCTAATGAGCTGTGCTGTCAGGGGTGTGACCTAATATGCTAACGAGTTTCTGCTGTTGGGTGTGGCCTGGGCTTTTTCTACAAAAAGAGCCCTGCTTCTGCTACTGCAAACAGTCTTTTTAGGGACTTTTTAAACCCCAAGATACATTAGAAATTTGTCTTGGGGTATGATTAAACCCCAGGATATGTTTTGAGGTTTCCCCCTCCCCCTAAAGGTTTGCCAGAGTGTGTTACAGTGCTCTAAGGGCAGTGTTCGGGTTGGGGGGGGGGGATTAAAAATAAAATCAGAGGAAGAAGTAACTGGGATCTCTCTCCATGTGTTCAGCCTTTGCCACTGACTTCTGCTGCTCAGAATCCGAGTTCGACTTTATATGTTGTGCGTAGGGTTGCCAAATCCAATTTGTCCGGGAGTGGGGGGCTCCCGGACGGCGTTGTCTCCGTGCGCGCCGCGTGTGCGTCACCCGGAAGTGACGTCACACGCTGGGGGCGGGGCCACGCCATTTGAGGGGAAAACTCTTTGTTTCCCCCTCAAATAGTGTGGCCCCGCCCCCAGGGGGGGGGGGTTGGGAACCCTAGTTGTGAAAGGAAGAGAAAACCTTCCAAAGGAGTAACGACAACTTAAGTGCTGTTCTATTCCGCTTCCTATGTTAGCTGCATGGGGATTTTGGGGACAGTGTTAATGCATCTGGATCGACACATTGTGCGTTCGTGAGGGAGGGCCTTTTCAGTGGTAGCCCCACAGTTACGGAACGACTTCCCCAGGAAGGATGCGCCTGGCCCCGTCATTGTCGATCTGCAATAGGCAGTTTTATTTAGGAGTGCATTTGATTAATTGACTTGCAGTCCTAAACTGTGATTTTTAAATGTTGGCTTTTTTGTATTTGTATCTACGTAGTGAGCCACCTTGAGCTCCATATGGAAGAAAGGCTGCTAATAAATGTTTTAAATAAATAAGTAAATGTGAACATAGGTAGGCACTGCAGTGTTCTCTCTAGGCTGAGTTAGTGTGAGCTAGCTCGCAGTCTTTTAGCCTCCGGCTCACACGTTTTTGTCTTAGCTCAGGGAAGGACGGTGGCTTCAGAGCAGACGAATTGATTCCGTAGCCAAATCGCTGGCTCACAGTTTTAATGCCAGGAGCTCACAAAGTAGAATTTCTGCTCACAAGACTCCACAGCTTAGAGGGAACATTGGTAGGCAGCACTGCTTGCTTCTACCGGTGCCAAAGAATACTTTTTATTTCTGCACTGTCCACGTGTTGTGCAAATAGTAAATAATCCCGTGACTGGCCCAGGACACGCTCCCTTGCTTATTCCAAATAAAATTGGATCTTGTCCTCTCTGGTCTCCCCCCCTTCCCCTCAGTTAGTTGTGTGAATAAGTCTCACGTGATGATATTCTAATGGGGCTCCAGTGCTTCACTTATTCGGAAAATCCTTTCGGAATTCACCTTTCCAGTGAGCCAAAGCTCTGGAGTCAGGGGTAGGTAGGGTTGCCAGCTCCGGGTTGGAGAGATCTTGGAGGTGGAGCCTGAGGAGGGCGGGGTTTGGGGAAGGGAGGGGACTTCAGTGGGGTGTAGCACCACGGAGTCCACCTTCCAAAGCGGCCATTTTCTCCAAGCGAATTGATCTCTTGCCGCCTGGAGGTCAGTTCTAATAGCTGGAAATTTCCAGTCACCACCTGGAGGCTGGCAAACCTAGTCAGAGGACGTTGAAAGAGTCATACAACCAGTTCCTCACAGCCATGGGCCGTTCTAGTTCACGTTTTGTTTTTGGATCTTGTTTGGAGAGCCAGTTTGGTGTCATGGTTAAGTGCGCGGACACTAATCTGGGAGAACCAGGTTTGATTCCCCCACTCCTCCACTTGCACCTGGCTGGGTGACCTTGGGCAAGCCATCGTTCTGATAAGAGCTGTCCTTGAAAAAGAGCCATTTCTGTCAAGAGCTCTCTCAGCCCCACCTCCCTCACAGGGAGTCTGTTGTGGGGAGGGGAAGGGAAAGGAATTTGTAAGCCACTCTGAGACTCCCTACAGAGAGTTTGTAAGCCACTCTGAGACTCCCTACAGAGAGTTTGTAAGCCACTCTGAGACTCCCTACAGAGAGTTTGTAAGCCACTCTGAGACTCCCTACAGAGAGTTTGTAAGCCACTCTGAGACTCCCTACAGAGAGTTTGTAAGCCACTCTGAGACTCCCTACAGAGAGTTTGTAAGCCACTCTGAGACTCCCTACAGAGAGTTTGTAAGCCACTCTGAGACTCCCTACAGAGAGTTTGTAAGCCACTCTGAGACTCCCTACAGAGAGTTTGTAAGCCACTCTGAGACTCCCTACAGAGAGTTTGTAAGCCACTCTGAGACTCCCTAAGAGCTACAAGCATGGACGGCTTCAAAAGGGAATTAGATAAGCATATGGAGCAGAGGTCCATCAGTGGCTATAAGCCACAAGGTATAGATAGGGGCTCTGGGGCAAGTGAAGCTCTGTCTTCTTGGTGCTTGGGGGGGGTCAACAGTGGGAGGGCTTCTAATGTCCTGGCCCCACTGGTGGACCTCCTGATGGCACTGGTATTTCTGGCCACTGTGGGATACAGAGTGTTGGACTGGATGGGCCTTTGGCCTGATCCAACATTGGCATCTCTTATGTTCTTATGTTCCCTTGGGTAGTGAAGGGCGGGGTATAAATCCAATCTCTTCTTCTTCTTCTCCTTCTCCATGCTGCGTGGGCAAACCGCTTTGCGAGATTAAAAGATGTTTTTAAAAAGTCAAGAATCGTGTCGTGCCTCGGCCTGCCAAGACCTTGGAAGTACCTCCTTAATAGAATTTCTGTCTCTCCTCATAGTTTATGTTGGAGCAAGGGCCTGCGGGTTCCACATGTCTTCCAATCCAAGCAGTTTTCCTCTGGAACATACGGCTCTTTATTCTGTAGCCTCATATAAGGAAATCTCAGATTTTTCGGGGTGGCAGAGCCTGCTTGGAAGTTGGCAGTTGGCACTGGAGGGAAGAGATTGCTGAACTCGGGATACTGTGCCTCCCGAGTTAGGTGCCGGTGGGACGAAATGGTTGTGGGGGGGGGAGGGCAT